TTTACCCGGCAGAACGAAAGAAGGAAACTCCGCTTTTCAGTCGTCTTAGGCGCCTGTTTTTTGACAAACAATGACCTTTCAGAGGTCAAATTGCTGTCAAGAATATGAATTGGCTGCTTCGCAGCAATTAAATGTATACTGTATACATGCAGATGTTAATCTACCTAGGCAGCACACACACACACACACGTTGTATCCTTCATCACTAAAGCATGCTTTTTGGAAAATATGAAGTCATACATCACTTCAAAATTCCCAGACACTTGCAAGCTCTGGGAACCACTTGGAAATAAGCATATCCAAGACTTCCTCAAGGAACTAAAAATCTATAAATTTCATACTTTTAATTTTTTACCTAATTTCAATGCTGATAAACAACCTTATTTCTAATAATGTTGTTATAAAAAATAATTCCAACAATACATTTCTGGCTGCCTAAAATCTTAAGCGTTGACATTAGAATATGACCTTTGAACCAGGGATTAGCAGAATGTACCTGAAAGACATTCTCAACTTGGGAGCTTAGTCATGATTTAATTCGTTGGTAGATAATTATTGTTTGTGTTACTGCCTTGTAATTTTTATGAGGATAGCTTTTGACGGCTTTTGCAGCTGAATAAAATTTAATTGATTGCATTAATACTGTAAGTCTATTCAAGTACATATCAACATTAATATGCCGGTCTTATAAAGCGAACTTGTCATTGCAACAAACACCTATGAAACAAATAGATACTGAGCTCTCTGGTAAATTCTATAATACTGCAATTATTAAAAAAATCAGTGCATTGGTATTAGAAACGTGGGAAAACTGCCCTGCCAAAGACAAGCACATGATTCAAAACTGAGATACTTAAGTTTTGAGAGCTTGAAGTGTTACAGATACGCCAACCACATCCACCAAGATGGTGTCTCTTGAGACAAGGTTAACAGACAAGGTGATAAATGAATTAGTTATCGTATAAGCAGTGGCAATTCACTCATATTCCCATCTTTTTATTGATACATACTGTAAACATAGATAAAAATAACATGTTCAGTTCAGTAATTACTTGCATGCATACAAAACACACCCTTACATGCATAGACATAAGAAGAATTATTTGCATCTTTAGTATAAAGTATAAAAAGGAGTTTCTTGGCTAGTCCCCTTTTCCATTGTACACTCCCAAATGCATCAAATTGTGTATTTTAAAGAAAATAAATACAAATATAAATGAAAAATCATATAATACATCCATATATGCAGGACACATCAAAGATATACACAAAAACACATCCGTATATGCAGAACAAACCAAAGACACACAGAAAAACACAAATATACAGAAAAAACCAACGACACACACAAACACACCCATATAGTGGATATAATATCTCCATGCTCACATGCTCACAAGCTAGTTCTCTCAATCTTGATTTCCACTTAATGGAAATATGATACATTTAAATTAAATGTGCATGTTGCTTATTAATTTATTTTGCATACTGCATATCTTTGTCACCTCTGTAATATATACAAAAAGTACATTTATGGTTACTCAACATACAATTTTATCTTGCATTTGTACTCCATTCACAATGATAATTGTGCTGGGATATGGACCATCAGTATCTACATTCCAGTTCCATGCCATCGTTTCAGTTTTTGTGGGGTTTATAGCAAGTCCATATTCATTGAATATATCATATAGTAAACCAATTGTTTTTTGTAATTTATATATTTCTAAGCTGTGAAAGCCAAGGCCATCGGTATAACCCCCTTCACTGTGTGTGTAAATACCCCTTGATGGTGCTTTTTGCCTTTGTTCTCTGTTTGTAGCTTCATTGAGTATGTTAAATGTACTTTAAATATTTTCTAAGTTTGCCTCTTGGCACTTTTTTCGAAAAATACGGATCACATAGTCAAGATATAGGTTAAAATGAGCAGATGCTTCTGATCCTCCTTGTCTAACACCAGATTTGGTTTCAAAGAGATCAAATTTAGGGTCATCGCCAGCAATAAATGAAAAAGTGTTCTTGTATAAGTTTTCAATAATATTGATTATAAAACATGTGTATACTCCACATGTGTATACTCCACATGTGTACATTTATGTGCATGCATCTGCATACTACTCTATATTCCCACTACGTGCCACGCCTCATATTTTATGCAAGTGCATGATGCACTTAAGGTTGTGTGAGCGCTGCATTCATAGATTATAAGTGTATATTACAAACATGAGATAGATGTGTATTAGAACAATTGATAGGTTAAGATGGGATGCAATCAATCCCACTGCACTGGAGCGATTGAATATAATATCTTTTGTTCAAGCAAATATTTCTATTGTGATATTTTGTTGCATTTAGCTATCTAAAATAACCTTATGCTATTTTTATAAGTTCTACAGTATATGTTGATCTTGTTTTTTCATTGTTTATTTTGCTTATATATATAGTAACATAAAAGTATAATTTTATGAATATTAATAATTTATGAAGAATTAATGGATCTCCATGTAATATTGTGTGTACCAGCACATTGTTTTCATTGTCACAAGGATAGCCACTTATGAGCGATCTTGCCACAGAATAGTCACTTGTTCTTTTGTATTGCGTTCTTTGGGCACAAAAAAAAACACCTTTAAACAAATAAATAATAAATGCATATAAATACAAATAAATAATAAATCAAATAAATTTATGAATCTTAAGGAGAGATTAAGTTTTAATTTGAACCCAGAACTCTTGGATTTGATGGAGGGCACCTTAACCTCAAAACTGCAACCTTACTTTTACTCTTACCTTCAGTTTTCTTTCAATATTTTTACCTTACACTAAAAAAAAATAATGTAGTACTAACCAGTAAAATCCACTTTTCCATACAAATTCTGAATTTGAGGAGCTTTTCCAAGTTTGAATAGATACAAACTAGTAAAAAAAATATAATAATATTTGGATTTTAATGTTAATCATATAAATTGCATACTTATATTATGTTAGAAAAATTTGTGATAAATTATGGATACAAAATCTGAAGCCAGTTAACTACTAAAGCTCTGTCTAGACTATCAAATGTTCTTTGACAAAGAACTGTTGTATGTCCATATATAGACATGTTGTACCTATATATGGTCATGATGTGAAATCATCATGACCATATTTAGGTATCTCACATGTTTTTGTCAAATAAAATGTTGTAGTCTGGAAAGGGCTTAGGAGATTTTTGTCTGCCAGATTCAGAAGATTATGTTTGACAAGATTTTGTCTGATAGAGTGTATGCTATGCTTGTTCCAGAAATATCTGAGCAAATACACTGTGTGTCTTTCTAATGTCTGTTGAATGTCTGATGTTGCACTACTCTATCATATACTGTCATTTGAGCATAGCCCTGTCTACACTGTCAAATTTTCTTAGAAAAGAAACTATTGTATGGCCATATATAGTAATGATGTGCCTATATATAATCATTATGTGCCTATATATGGTCATTATATGATGTCATCCTGACCAAATTTAGGGATGTCATGCGTCAAATAAAATGTTATAGTCTTGATAGTTAACAGAATTTGATAGTGTATGCTTTACAGTATACAGAATTATTCCTGCTTTCATCCAAGAAATTTTTGAATACTGAAACTGTAAACATACAAAACTTTTTATCTCTGATTGGCTATAATGATGTATTATTATAATGTTAAAAACAAATGATTTGTGGGAGAATTACTTTGCTTTTTAGACACAAGTTTTAATCAATTTCAAACTGATGGAAAATAAACAGTGAGTTCATGACTAAAAAAAAAACTTGTAAGAGAATTTTGATAGTAATAAATGTAGCCATGTAGCCATGCTAGTCTAAATAATAAACTGCAAATGACAGATAACAGCAATTAAAGACTAACAATAGTTATTAATTATAAGCCTTTGATCTCACAGCATGGTCATCAAGAGAAAATTAGTATTATGCTATCAAAAGTTTGTAATTAATAAAATTTGTTAGTTGTTACAATGTACAGCAGGAGTTCACAAATCATCAATGGACAGTGCTCCAACTGGACGAATAAACCCAAGGATGAGTTTATTGCACATTCCTTAACAAGAGAATGAATGAAGTTTGGCAGTCTCACTGACTATAGTCGATAAATCTAAAAGTCGTCCCATTACAATATCACAATTTTGGCAAGCAACAATTTTCTATACACACAAATGCAAACATCCTGAACTCCCTTGTGCTGAAATTGGCAGTAAACAGTAGTGTGCCAGCAGGGGCTCCAGTCGGCCCCTTAGTTCTCACCCCTGTCAGAAATGCCAGACCACCCCCTCCCCGGGGTAAGTTTCTGCAGCCACTGCTGGCAATGAGATAGCCTGTCTTGATACAGAGATGCATCAGGTGACTGTTGAAATGCCTTACAAGTGTGACTATTGTATGAAACAGTTGGATTGCCTGTATAAGGTCATCAGCATTTGCATGGGTCACCAATACGTACCTGAGAGCATGTACACAATATACTACTCGAGGCATGTTTTTCCTGTCATAAACATCTGTTGTTTCTGGATAAAATATCTAAGATAAAAAACAAAATGATATAAAAAATTTTTAACAATATTGTTCTTCGTTTTAAATTTTGCAGTAGAATATCATCTAATTCAGCCATATGATACTATAATAAAAGAAATCTGGACAAATTTTTGACAATACTAAAAAATTATAATTCATATCTTTAAACATAGCTTTTCTTTAGATTGACAATAATTTTTATAATTCTTATTAAATAACACATCATCAGCCCAGTGGGAATATGTATCACTTCTCATTTCACTTTCATAGGAGAAATTTTAACATCATGTGCACACACTTTAATCTGGTAATGTTACTAGTTCATTGTATTCTCACCTCTAAATGGTTTTTTTTTTTATATATCATTTCCTTCTTTTATCAAAGCTTAATAAAACAAATAACATAATCAGATATAGTACATAATACAATATATAAAAAATGTATTCATAGAAATGACATCATTATTTCTTTGTACCAAGGCAACAACTGACCCTGTGGTCTTACCTGTGGTAATCCTATATCCTCCATTGACCTTAGCCAGTAATTTATATTATCTGTATGTCGGAAATGAAGACCCTTTGACTGTAAAATGAAAAAAAGAAAAACATAATTTGTAATAGTACATAAATTATCTTCCCCTAAGAATTGAACATTTTGACTCGTATCTGAATTAAAGACCACTGTAGACATTTTAGTTCAGCTTCCTACATTTGAAATAAGAACCATGATACATAAATATCAACCATTTGAGTATAATTATTTTTAAAGATAAATATTTAAAAAGACGCACTGTTTAAAATCTTGAACTTGTAAGAATTAAATGACTGAGTAAAGTAGCATTTGAATGCTACATGTAGTGATTTTAACTTTAACTTTCTTACATGATGAAGTCACTTTCTTTCTGGATTGTAGCCAATTTGGAAATTCCCCACGTTATTTAAAACATAAAGGATATTAAAATTTCCGATTGAGACACAAAAAACTGTCTGTGGAACAATTTGGAGAAGCTGAGACCTAGACTTCTAACACAATGGTCTTGAGTTCCGAGATTGATGCTAGGTACACATTACAGGTGTTCTACGATAAGAGCCACTGATTCTACGTTTTTTGCCTCCACCCACCCTCTTAGGCCCTATAAAAATATTATTAGTTTATCACCATATCTGGGTAGGAAAAGTGATGAAGGAGGGAGGGTTTTTTTTTTAATTTTTTATTTTGCTAAAGCCAAATATCACTCTTGGTTTGTTTGCTGGTGCATTGATATTCAAAGTAAAACATGATTTAGATAATACAAACAATATCTACTAATTATTTTAATAAAATAAATTTTTTTTTTTTAATTTTAAAAATAAAAATTTTCAATTTCTTTTTTCAGTACCATAGAAGACAGCGCGCGGGGGTGATAAACTAATAATTTTTTTTTATTGGGCCTTCCCATGGAGGAGCATAAAGGATATGGTAATTGTATGAAATTGATTGGGGGGAGGGGGATAAATTAGTTACACTACTACGCAGGGGCAGAATTAGAATGTATTTGATCTGTGCGCTACATGCAACAACTAGCAATACTATAGGTAGCATGTTGGTCAACTTCTGGATCCCGAAGACAAAGAGATTAATAAACAAAAAATACTTTGATTCTCTACTTTTCTGTATTGTGAGAAAGTAGTTCATTTTTTACATGTTTTTCTATATTATTATAATTTTGCCAAGATCATTTGTATTGGCACTTCAAAGCAACTGCATCAATGCCTTGCCCAGCTTTTTTTTCTAAACTAACACTGTTAGTTTTAAGTGTTTATATACTGTACTGTGTATTTTATTATGTGAATTTTATGTGTTACTGTATTGACAGAGATAGTGTCATACAATCAGATCATCTTTTCATTTCTTATCTCATTGTATTATATTTCAAATCTTCAGGCCTAAAAAAATGTCTATGTTGACTTATAAAATGTGAAAAATAAAACTTATAACGCATACTTAACTGAAGTCGGGTCAACTTTCAGTTGAAAATTAACAAATATTTCATTTCCAGGTCTAATTTTATAGGTAAACGGGACCTGAATTTAACACTACGAACAAGTTTCTATATTATTTTCAGAGATCCCATAATTGACATGCAATAATTCCAGAAATTGTTGTAATAAAGACTGTAAATTAGTGAAACTGAAATATTTTGATTTGTGTCTCAAAGACATTGTAGTTGACAATCAGTTTATTTTATTTAAAGTAATTTAATAGTTTGATTAAATTTGTAGAGGTTTCCTAGATTTTGTTGTTATTTTGATATCACTACTTTCTTTATATATATATAATTCAAATGAGCATATTTAATAGGTTAGATTTTTAGAGGTTTTAAGACTTTGTGAATTTTTTTAATTTTTAATTTTATATCTGTTTTGTATTTCATTAAAAAATTGTAAACATAACTTTAAATACATTTTTATCAAAGAAGCTAAAATTACTCATATGACATAGTTTGCAATAGTAATAATTTACAAGATTGTTTGAAAAAAGTTCTAGGCCTGTTAATTAGCAACGGAAGCTAGGAAGGAAACTGTCAATTGAACCCATTGAGAATAGTTTGACTAAACCAGCCTAAGAAATAAGAGTTTAAAACTTGATATACATTCTGTAATTCATCCTTTCCTGTGTGCTAAAGAAATGAACAGAAATATAATAAGAGCTATTTATAACTTGCCAACTTTAGATATTAAAAAACAATGAAACACTGCACTCTAAAAATTGAACATTAAATTTCAATGAATTGCTCCACTTTCAATATTTAGTAGGTTATTTAATAGCGTTATATTTGAAATTAGACCAAGAAATATATCTTCCCTATGTCAGACAAATAATAAATTCCCATATTTTACATAGATCCTTGATTAAATCTATTTAAAGATTTTTGTAGAAAAATGTTTGTAAATCTGCAGAAATGGTATTGTTTCAATATGCATTACATTTGAAGATGATAATCAATAAACAATCAAAAAATAAATAGATTCATGATGAATTTGTTATAATATTAATCTTAGATATGATCAAGGCCTTGATAATAAAAAAGCGTCCACTCTAAGACTAATCCATATATATCCTAGAAACCAGCAGAATGAAAACTTAAAAAAAAAAAAAAAACAACTAGAGAGACAGTATGCACACTGTTAACCAGCACTCTTATTTCTCAATAAGGACTTACTGTACCAGTTCAGAATTCACTTAAGCTCAAAAGATGCTGGTATCTCATTAGCCTATCCCTCAGAGAAAAATAAATATATATGAATCAAATTTGTTTTTTTTTAAATTATTAATTCTTTGGGCATTTCATTGGGTTTCAACAGCTTCCCCTTGATGGCAACAAGATAAAAAGGAGTTGGACAGCCCAGTGTTACCCAGAAAAGAAACAATAAGGTGTGGTGTGGAGGAATGTATGTATGGTAAATATCTATCAGCACATAACATTTTAACTTTAAAGTTACATCAAATAGCATATTAGCAAATAACATTAGTCTCTCGAAAGTTTTTTTTTGTCAAATTAATTCCACAAGTGGACGGGAAGGTCAACGACCTCTCATGGCACCACATGTGCTATTTCAAAAGTTTTGTTACAGGGTCATTCACAAGGAGCAACAGCAGCAGGAGCCCATAAGCAAAGTGAAGATAACAAAAATACATAGCAACTGCGGCCTTATTAAAATGGATCATCATCGATAAGGAGGTACTGTACTGTACTTCTCTACTTTAGTACCTCCTCACATTAGCAATAATTGTTTTTATTTTTAGATGATCAAGTAAGGGTTTGAAACCTGGAGCAGGCCGGAGTGCCCGTCTCTCTTTCTTTAGCGTTTGGGCCAGATTCTGTGCAAGGCAGTGCAGTCTGTTTTACCTTCCCAGCATATGCTGGTACCCAGTTATACACCTGGGTGGATAGAGACAATCGTAGATAAAGTCTCTTGCCTAAGGACACAAGCGACTTGCACAGCGAGGGTTTCGAACCCCTGACCTCAACGTTGAGAGTCTGAGCCACAACCGTTGCGCCAACTGCCTCTACAGATGATTAAGACAATAGAAAAAGCCCATGACAGTGTCACTGATGACTTGATATCGATGATAACGGGCAATGATTATTATTAATGATCTAGTTTCTGGAAATATCTATGATATTGATCACAACCAGACCTTGATTTAAAGAAAAAGCAGGAGAGCTACTTTTAAATCAAGGTCTGTCACAACAATAAAAAAGATAATTATAAAATAATGAGGTTTGAGAATATAACAAAATGATGCAACTCGTATGACTAATTCTTACTAAAATTAATTATAATTTACAATCTTTGATTACTACTGTACATGTGCGTTTGTTCTGATGCTGCACTAGTATCAACAGTCTTTTTGGATTTGGGTGCTCTGTGTAGTTTCTTAGCCATCCGTTTGTTGTAAAAGTTTCATTGGTTCTAGAAATTATAATTAATTTTTGTAAGAATTAATCATACGAGTTACATCGTTATATTTTCAAACCTCATTATATTATAATTATCTTTTTATAATACTTAAAAGTATAATATATAAAAGTAAGCATATCACAAGCTGAACTGTAATTTTCAATTTTTGTTTTAGCTTCAACACAAACATTAACATCAACATGAACACTGAATAAAAATTCTTCTGAAAGCATAAGTGAAAAAATGCAGCATCCTCAGTTTACTTTTAATTGTCATATTGTTTCGGTTTAGAAATGGTTGAAGAGGCAAATTATTCCATAGGATTGTTGTTGAATATGAAACTTTGATCAACAATCAGACAACCTTATAATATTATACATAATGCAATAAATCAAATCTTTGGAATTCCCAAGTTACATTTCAGGATTTTCCGAGCACTATAATATACTTCAAAATCACACTCCCTGGCAGGTTTTTACTTCCGCAGCACATTGTAAATTCATTCATTGACGGGATCGTTTCCGCAATTCCAGCGATATCATTGGGCGTTGTGATTCCAGATTACATCCTGGTGGATTTGCAATAAGAAATTTGAAAATCCCTGGAGTATACTTAACTTACTTAAGTAAACCTAGTCTCAATAACAATTGTGTTTTTAATAGAAACTATATAATATACAATTACTCTTCCATTACATTTCATGTAAAATGAATAAAGAAACCGAAGTTTGACTTCCTAATATTTTTGAAAGGCGCAAGCTGCGGGCCAATCTGTTTGGGATGAAACTACCATACGGTGGACAATGGCGATATCAATTTATGTACTAAAAAAAATAAATATAGCAGGAAATGTATATAGCATCCACGATGTATATTAATCTCAAAGGTAAATCTGTTAGCTTATAGCAATCAAAATAATCTGGAAGGGCCTCCCTATCCGGTGGTTTTCTATTGTATTGTTTATCATAATAACAAGTTGTAAAAAGTAGCCTAAACAAACCACAAAATTACAGTACGAAGATTCCTCAAGCCAAAAATTTAAAAAAAAAAATGAATTTTACTTTACATATTTTATAGTTAGTTTATCATATTTTTTAAGACCAACATTATTAAAAAGTGGAGCTCTAAGTATGTCATT